GAGAAGCGGTGGATTGTGAACCATTAATAACTACTCTCTGAGTACGGTTATCCAGCCAGTTATGCACGCACCTTATAGTACCCCCATCTAAGTTGTATTTGCCTAGTTTATTGATAAGAAAATCATGCGAGACCGTATCAAACGCCTTACTAAAGTCTAGGTATACCACGTCCACCGCTTCTCCCTTATCCACAAGATTCGTTATCCTATTAAAGAAAGCTATCCGATTGGTTTGACAGGATTTGTTCTTTACAAATCCATGCTGGGTGTTCCCTATCATCTTGCCACCTTCCAAGTGTTCGCATATGATTTCCTTAATTACTTGCTCCATTATCTTCCCTGGCACAGAAGTTAAACTAACTGGTCTGTAGTTTCCTGGGTTGTTCTTATTTCCCTTTTTATAAATGGGCAGTCTTCTGGAATCTCTCCTGGCTCCCATGATTTTCCAAAGATGCTAGCTAGAGGCTCAGATACCTCTTCTATCATCTCCTTGAGTATTCTAGGATGCATTTCATCAGGCCCTGGTGACTTGCATCTAACTTTTCTAGGTGATTATTGACTTGTTCTTTTTTTATTTTACCTTCTAAAACTATCCCCTTCCCACTAGCATTCACTATGTTCGGTATTCCTACAGACTTCTCGGTGAAGAACAAAACAAAGTCATTGAGCATCACTGCCAATTCCAAGTTTCCTGTTACTGTTTCTCCCTCCTCACTGAGCAGTGGGCCTACCCTGTCCTTGGTCTTCCTCTTGCTTCTAATGTATTTATAAAAAGTCTTCTTGTTTCCCTTTATTCCCGTAGCTAGTTAGAGCTCATTTTGTGCCTTTGCCTTTCTAATCTTGCCCCTGCATTCCTGTGTTGTCTGCCTATATTCATCCTTTGTAATTTGTCCTCCTTTCTATTTTTTATATGACCCCTTTTTTATTTTTAGATCATGCAAGATCTCATGGTTAAGCTAAGGTGGTCTTTTGCCATATTTTCTATCTTTCCAACACATCAGAATAGCTTGCTTTTGGACCCTTAAGAATGTCCCTTTGAAAAACTGCCAACACTCCTCAATGGTTTTTCCCCTCAGTCTCGATTCCCATGGGACCTTACCTATCAGCTCTCTGAGCTTACCAAAATCCGCCTTCCTGATATCCATTGTCTCTATTTTGCTCTTCTCCCTCCTACCCTTCCTTAGAATTGTGAACTCTCTGATTTCATGATCACTTTCACTCAACCTGCCTTCCACTTTCAAATTCTCAACCAGTTCCTCCCTATTTGTTAGGATCAAATCTAGATCAATCTAGGATCAAATCTAGAACAATTCCCCCCCCAGTTGCGCCCACATCAGATAGTCTCTCAGACGCTGCATCACGAGAGGGCCCGGCTCTGCGCTGAGCCATTAGACGCCTGCACGGAGAAGGTCACCTCGAGGGCTTTGAAGAGTTGCCTGTGTAAGCATCTCCCCCCTGCTCAGCCTCCTCCCCCTGTTCTGCCTGCCCCCGGGAGGACAGCTCCCCACAGGGGGGCCGCTGGTGGGCGGTGTGTTATGACGTATCAGTTCTGAGCTGCTGGGTCTGATTCCTCCAGCACGTAGATTAGCAAGTGAGATTCAACCTTCCAGCTTCCATTCTGGGGTGAAATCCATCATGGTCCCCCAAATCTGCCACCCCCCTCCCCGAAGCCCTATCACTAGGCAAAGACCCTGTAGACCAGTGGCTCTCAATCTACTCAGACTCCTTCCCCTCTCAGCCTCAAGGTTCTCTGTACTTTGGAACGACTTCTGCGCTAAATCAGCTAGAAATACCACCATAGAGATGATTTGCCTTCACATTTTATAGGTCCACTGTCGAATATATTGCACAGAGCAGAGTAAGCACCCGAGAGGGGAATTTTACATGAAAAATTAAAAATTCTACCAAAAAAATCAAACCTTCTGTGCACAATATTTTAAAATTTCTCCAAAATTCTGCATCTTTTATTTGTCAAACCAACACAATATAATCCCAATTTCAATCATTATTTTTGCAATACCTGTCAGCAAGCATGTGACAAAACAGAAACCAAACGAGATTGAGGAGCTGGTGTTTGAGAAATGGATTCCTCACTAGGCACATGAATTCAGAACGGCGAGTAACAATCCGTACACACTTTAAAGCAGAGCTGCAGTTCCCGCACTCCCAGATGCAAGGCGAGGTCAGGGTGCGAGGGAGGGGGGCCAGACATAACAGGGAGATGAGGCTGGTATCCTGGCTGGTAAGCCTGGGCTGTGGTTTCCGTGGTCTCTAGCCCTCTGCGAGGGTTTTGTTAGCACTGGATGGGCCAGGACTGGAGTCCCTGCAGCAGAGGCCGATTCTCACCCATGCTCTGGTCTTGTTCCCCATCCAGGAGGTGATCAGAGGGGGCAAATTCCCAGCTGGGGTCTCTGTTCCTGGGACCTCACCCGGTGGAACTGGCTGGCCATGATGGTCTCAGCCCCACTTCTCTGCTGGCTGCCCTGCCCCCCTGGCTGCGGGCTTGTGATTCACGTGACAGCTGCATGGAGCAATGGCCACTGGAGGCCCTCCAGGTGTTGCAGAAGTGATTGTACTAGCTACATCCTGTGGTCTCCCCGCATTGTTCACCCTCCCAGATACACCCACACACACGGCTTCCTGCTGCCGGCTGAGCCAGTCTAGGTGAGCTGCAGGAGTTGTGTGGGGGACCTGGGAGGAGGCTCGACTTGGAGATGCTGCGTCCCCTCAAGACACGGGTAAGGAAATGAGGGAAACCCTCCAGCTGCCCCACAAGGTGTCTTTCTCCCTCCAGCCCCCATCTGTCCCTTGGATCTCCCCCATCCTGCCCCAACCACTCCTCTAATCCCGGTGGCTAGAGACGGTTGACATTAGTTGTCTCCTGTGGTGAAAAGTCATGAGACCCCATCCCGCTGGGTGTTGAGTGACACTGTCTGAGCTCACGGATCCCATCTCAAGGGGTGCTGCACAGGGAAATGTTTGGAGGGGAAACTGAAGCCTAAGGCTGTGAAGTGACTTGGCCAAGCTAGGAGTCCTGACTCCCCGTCCAGCCGCTCAAATTGTCTCTTGCAACAGCCTTTCATTAGACAAAAGGTGTTAGGGGCCTCCCCTTTCTCCCGTGCACTGCCCCGGGACTTGTTTGTTGTCAGTGTTGTTGAAAGCCTGGAAATCCCTTTCAATTTTTTTTAAAAGGGCCGGGGTAGAGCGAGGATTGGTCACTGGTTAAATTCTCAAAAAAAAAAAAACCGAGAGAGAGTCGCCAGCCCCCTTGGAAAACCAACAGCAAAAAGAGTATTTAGGACTTTTAGGCCCTGTCTACACGACAGAGATCGAATCTGTTGCGGTTAATCTTCCGGGGTTCAATTCAGCCGGTCTAATGAAGCCCTGACAGGTGGAGGCCAGTAACCCTGCTCCTACGAGGAGTAAGGGAAGTGGACAGTGCCAAAAGCCGAGTAAAGATGAACGGAGCTGAAGCTGCTGAATGTGGCTGAATTTCACCTTGTCCATAGTGTGGGCCGGGGTGAGTGAGGCTCGGGGGGAAATGTCTCCAGGGCTCTGTCTCTGCGTCTGAGCAACTCTCCCTCCTGCCGCCTCCCTGGCTTTGAAACACAAATGATCGGCAAGAAGGTAGCACGGTTCATTGAAATTGGGCTGGGTAACACTCTTCTTCCAATGTAAAACCGAAACCCGTTGGGGCTGGATCCAGAGAAAACAAACCCGGCATCTCGGCAGCGACCTCACTGAGTCGACCCTTTCGGTCCCCTGCTCGCCCTGCGGTTCGCTGCTTCTAAGGGCTTTGTACCACTGGGGCCATCGGCCCACAAGGATTCGATCCCACCTCAGCTCAGCCCAGGGACTGGGAGTTTATAAACGCCGCCTCTGTCTCTCTCTGTCCCCGTCCTGCAGCCCTTTTCACTGCTCTCCCTTCCTCCCCACAGCCCAGCGTCTGCCCCACCCCCACCCAACCCTGAGGAAAAGGGGGCCATATTGTGTCAGCAGCCTCTCTGAGAATGGAGTTTGCCCCAATCTTACTCCTGGTGCTCTATGGCTTGGCCTTCCTCACCGGGGCACCATTGAACGGCTACGTCCTCTTCGTCACCGGCTGCCGTACAGAGAGGACGGCCAGCGCCGTGTGGTTCCTCAACCGGGCCGTGTCCGATTTCATCTTCCTCCTCTGCCTGCCCTTCAGATTCATCATCATCTTCTCCCTGCACATAGGTTGGGCCAGGAGGCTGAGCAGCTCCATCACCTCCCTGCACATGTTCTCCAGCGCCTTCCTCCTCACGGCCATCAGCGTCCATCGCTGCGTCCTCTTGGCACGACCTGAGTGGGCCCAGAAATGCTGCACTCCCTGCCTGGCCTGCTGGGTGGCTCTGGGCACATGGGCTCTGTCTGCTGGGTTCAGCTTGCGGTACAGTGACCTCTGGGAATCCTTCCTTCCACCTCCCAGCACCAGCATAAATTTCCAAATGGATCCAGAGAGGGCAAAAGTTGCCATCGCAATCCAGTTCCTGGTCGGATTTCTGATTCCATTAGCCTTGAGCCTGATCCCAATGTTCTACGTCATTCACACTGCCAGGCTGGGAAGGAACCGGCTGATCCAGGCCACCCAGCCCCTCAAGATCCTTCTTGGCTTCATCCCAACCTTTTTCTTCTGCTGGCTGCCCTATCACATCTTCTACTTCCTGCAGTTCTCAGCTACGCACCCTCGGCCTCTTCTGCATATAGGATGTGTAGTTACTTACTTCCTGACATATGTCAACAGCTGCCTCAACCCCATCTTCTACCTCACCATGAATGAAGAGTTTCTGAGGTACCAGCAACGTGCTCGCAACCCCCACACCACCGACCACTCGGAGTCGGAACCAGCCGACTAGCCCCATCCTCCAGCCTCCATGAGCTGCACCCTTTAGGGCCAATTTTAGGGAATGCTGGGCCTGGAATGCCTGAAGGAAGAATTCTGTACACTAGGTCTAATAGTTTCTTTTTTATCCCAAAATTGTTTTTTATGGCAAGTGAATTTTGGGCCTCCTTTTGCAGGATTAGAAAACCTGTGTGATAACGAGAGCTGAGAGATCTAGACACTGAATCCAAGTAGCTGAACAAAGAGAAGGTGACTTGATCCCAGGCTGTAAGTATCCAGACGGGAACGGATATTGAACAAGGGGCTCTGGTCCAGCTGAGGAAGGTCTAACATGACCCAGGGAACAAAAGTTGCACCCAGACAAATTCAGCCGGGACGTGAGGGGAACGTTTTGAACGGCCAGAAACACTGACCCTGTGAGCAATTTCCCAAGGGTCGTGGTGGATCCAGGACTGTCCCTCCCAATACACAAATGTGCAGCTGGGTAGGGTGCCACCCAATGGCACCAAGTTTCATGGTCCCCAACCATGGGTGTGTGGCATTGCCAGCTCCAGGAGCCATCCCCAGCCCCCAGCCAACCC